CCTCCCCGGCGCCCGCGCTGCACGCACACCGCGCTCACATTCACAGCACCCTGGCTGTCCCCACACGCCCCTCCTCATACCCCCTGGGGGTTCCCGAGGCAGGGGTGCGGGCTCTTCACGAAGTGCCCCAACCCTAAGAGGCATATCGCAGCCTGTCGCCTGGAGGCCCGGGAGCCCAGGGAAGGAGCCTCAGCCGCCCATGTCACCCGCCTGGGTCTGGGGCTTCCCAGGGGCCCCTCGGAACCTTGGACTCCGCTGCTCTTTGGTGGAGGGAACTTGCCCGACAGACCGTGGATTTGGGATGAAGATGGGCTGGGGGTGGGGTGGAACTTGAGAGCCTGGAGCCAGGACTGTTGGGTGGAGGAACCCTGAGCCAAAGAACCTGGTGACCCCCCTTTCACAGGGGCTGAGAGGGGCTGCGAGCCCCCCTCTTCAGTCAGTGAGGCCATCCCCACACAGAGCGCCTGGGAAACCCGCACTTGAAGCGTCAGCCCTACCCCCACCCGGAGGAGACAGGTTCAGAGAGAGGGCAGCTGTTGTGCTTCCTACTAAAACTGGGGAAACTGAGGCTCACCCAGACCAGGCCTGCGATCCACTCCAGGTAACTCAGCCAGCCCCCACCTCCCCAAGATGAAATCTTTCCCAAGTCAGCCTGGGAGAATGGGGGCTCCCAGCCTGGGGTCCAAGCCTCCACTCTGCCTCTTACCAGCTCTGGTGCCTGTGGGCAGGTCACTTCCTGCACTTCCGTTTTCTTACCCAGGCAATGGGCCAAACTGCAGCCCCCTCAAAGGGCAGCGGGGAGGGTTTGGCAAGTCCTGGTGGTGTCCAGCAAATGCCAGCCACCACCGCCCTAGCCATCTGCGCTGTGGTTTCTGTGGGCTTTGGGGAGGATGAGTAGTCGGATGTGGGACTCTCAGAAAATGGGAGCACTTGAAAAGGACCTCAAACCTATGGAGCTTCTCAGCCTGGGAGCCCCCATCTTCCCCATGACCTGCTGGCTTCAGGGGGAGAGGACAGGGAGCGAACACCTTGCTGACCAGAGCTGTGATCGGAGACACAAATGAGCAAGGAAACGAGGTGGGAGGAGCGGAGCCATGGGGCCCCCATGCCCCTGCAAAGGCACAAAATTCCTGGAAAGCCATTTCTCTGACTAGCTCCGGAGGGGGCCTTGACTGTGGTCAGATTCTGCAAGGCCAGTGGAAGTTCTTCCCACCCACCTCCACCCCCGAAAAGCCTAGTCAGGATGTGGCATGGTGGCCAAGAGCCCAGGCCCAGATCCATCGCTCCCTGGCACCAGTCCCAGTGTTGTTACTCAGATGCTGAGTGACCAGGGGCCCCAGCTTCTTCGTCCTTAAAATGGGGGTCCGTTTCTCCATCCAATCATCAGCTCTACATTGTGTGCCTACTACGGGCCAGGCACGGTGGTAAGAATTTAGCATCTATTGTGTCTGATTCTTAGAGCATTAGATAGGTACGTATTGCCAGGTACGATTGAGCCTGGGTTTGAACATTGAGCTGTTTTTAATGAGCACGCTCCATGCAGGTTAGGGTTTGGGGCTTTGGAACTAGAATGAATAGATTGGGTGGGGAGTGGTGCCAGGAAGGAGACATGACCTGAGGAACTTGGATGCGGGTTTGGGACAGCTCTGGCTCCCCCCTCACCCCTGTGGAGCCCCATTTCCTGTGTGTCAGAAGCTGGGGGAGCTCTGGTCACAGGCTGCTCTGGCCTTGGATATGCCTTTTCAGCATCCTGTGCTGAGCCAAAGCCGCAGCCCCTCTGCCTGGCAGACCGCCAGGCTGCCAGCGGGAGCCTGCTGGGGTTGTCCAGGCACAGTGAAATGGAGCCGGGGGGTCTCGGGCACAGTGAGTACTGCCAGTAAGAAGGGTGCTTGAGGCAGAGCCGGATCTGGCTCGGTCTCTGTTCTCTCCTGACGGGTTATGTGACTTTGGGCTAATCCACTGCCCTTCTCTGAGCCTCACTGTCCTCCTCTGTGCAGTGGGGTGAATAATAGGATGTGCTCCCTAGGGGTCTGGGGGGCGGTGAAGTCCTTGGCACAGGGGCTGTGGCTACTAATAGAAGAGGCACTGGACCAGGTGGCAGGCATGGCTGCCAGGCCCAGCTCCACCGCTGCTGGCTCCGGGCAACGCACTTAACCTTCCTGAACCTCCCGAGCTCATCTGCTTACCAGGCTCCTGAACGGAGATGTTTCCAGGAGCCCTCAGGTCTGGCAGCGAAGGGAGAGAAGCGAGGTCCAGGCCTGCTGAGCAAGTGCCCTGTCTGAAGGGGCAGAGCCTACTCAGCTCCAGCTCAGGCTGTCTTCGGGGATTCCAGGGGCTATAGACCTGCTAGCCCCAGATCTAACTCTTAACAGGAAGCTAGAATTTCTTTCTTTCTTTCTTTCTTTCTTTCTTTCTTTCTTTTTCTTAAATAACGGAAGAACCAGGTGGGTGGGGGACACCAATCAAATCAGGAGATTAGCATTTAAGATTATCTGTCCATATGGTTTACACGTGAGAAATCCAACATTTTTCTTTTAAATATATTTCTTTATTGATTTCAGAGAGGAAGGGAGAAGGAGAGAGAGAATCATTGATCGGCTGCCTCCTGCACGCCCCCCACCAGGGATTGAACCCGCAACCCAGGCATGTGCCCTTGGCCGAAATCGAACCTGGGACCCTTCAGTTTATAGGCTAACCCTCTATCCACTGAGCCAAGCCCCCCAGGGCTTTTTATTTTATTTTATTTTTTTAAGATGTAAATGTTTAATGGGAAATTTACCAATTTTTAAATGTTGACGCGTCACTTTAAGACAAATGAAACACATCCGCAGGCTGGCCATGCTGCCCATGAGATTCCACAGCTCAAAAGAGGGGCAGGGGAGCCTTTGGGACAAATGGCCAGGCCAAGACCACTGTGGCCAATGTTTACCAAGCCCAACCACATTACCTCTCGTTCCACCCTCCTGGCACCCGGCTAGGACAGTTAGGAGCCCTGTTTTACAGATAGGACAATCGAGGCTCTGAGCTAGTGAGGGGCAGCTGTGCCCTGGCACTGTGGGAACTGCTGGCCTGGTGGGCCGGGGGTCCTTCACACCTTCGCTGAAATCACAGCTCCCAGGCCAAGGGAGGAGGGGGTTGTGATGAGGGGAGGGAGAAGAAAGGTACGCAGTGTGGGGGTCTGGGGTCTGAGCTGGACCAGTCTTGGAGGAATGGGAGCCCGTGGACAGCCAGAGATCTGACAGCAGATTCTGTGTCCAGCCATGTGTACCTGTGGCAGGGACATCCCCAGCCCATGCTGCTGGCATTGGCCATCCCAGTAGGGCCGGCCCCACTCTCACAAAGTCAGCTTGTGCCAGGCGAGCAGGAAGGAAAGCCACTGGCGTTATTGGATTCCCAGCAGGGCAGAGGCAGGCTGGGACCGGTGTGCTCACGTTAACATGTGTCTCGGTACGCCCAGACTCCCTTCTGCCAGGAACTAGGGCCACCTGGGGCTTTGACACAGTGTCCTATTGGGTGTGCGAGTTCTCAGGAGACTTTTGAAACCATGTGCCCTCCTGCAAGTTGGGCACAGAGGTAGGAGCGTGGAGCCAGATGGCCTGGATTGAACAGTTTCTTACTGTGTGGCCTGGGACAAACAACCTTACCTTCATGCCTCAGGACTCTCCTCTGCAAACCAGAGATGGTACCTAGCTGTGGGGTTGCTAGAGGATTAAATAAGTAATATATATGCAAAGTGCTTAGGGCTGTGCTTGGGTGTAAGGAGTGCTGGGCAGGGTTCGTTGTCATTATCATGATCTCCAGCCCAGGTCCCAGGAATGAGCTTCCACTTTAAGTCAGCACCTCCCTCCCATCACCATGACAACCCGCATCTCAGGGAGTGGGGGCATCAGCAGGGGACAAGGAGGCTTCTCCCTGCTCGGTCCTGCTCCTTGAGGCCTCCCGCCTGGGACTGGAGGCCCTCCCATATGTTCTGGATAACCCCACTTGGATCGAGGCACCTCAACTTCTCGGCCCCAAAGCCACCGACTGGGAAGAAGGTCCGGATTATGTAAAATGCCCAGGAAAATGTTCGCCCTCTGATTGGACCTCAGTCCCAGTGGGGGGCCCACAGAATGCTTGGAGGGGTTACAAACAGGCCAGCCACGGCCAAGCAGCTTTTTTATTCACACTGTGCCTGAGCGGTGTGTACATTTTGTGAATTGGTGCAACATTTAAAAATCAAGAAACTGTACATAAACTATCCAGGCTTTTTCTTTAAAGAGCCAGAAGTTCCAGCCATGTTGGGTTGGCATTCCCGGGAACAGAAAAGCACTCAATCCCTTAATCGGCAAGCACGCCACAGTTCTCACCCCCGCACCCCCTGTTTATCCCACCTCACCTGTCTGTGCTACCTCTTTGAGCCACGAGGGACACAAACGCTGGGTGGGGCTTATCCTGTCTTTCTGTGTCGCTTGAACTGAGACCCATACAATTCGTCCCGGCCTCCCCTTTCCACCACCACCACCCCATTTAGAATATGTCTGTGAGCAAATGTGCTTCTTAGCAACAACAATAATAAAACCATGAGCAGGCCCTGGGTTCAGGTAATTGCTTGTATGAGCGTCTCTAGACCTTGGAGGGTGGAATGGGGAGGGGAAGGACGGGGAATAGGATATTGTGGAAAATGGAGCCTTCCTTTTCCAGCTTAAACAAAAACATTGGAAGTGCAGTCATGCGTCACTTAATGATTGGAAATGCGTCGTTAGGCGATGTCTTCGTTGTGCAAACAACACAGAGTGCACTTACACAAACCTAGACGCTCTAGCCTCCTGCACACAGGGTGGAATGGGGAGGGGAAGGACGGGGAATAGGATATTGTGGAAAATGGAGCCTTCCTTTTCCAGCTTAAACAAAAACATTGGAAGTGCAGTCATGCGTCACTTAATGATTGGAAATGCGTCGTTAGGCGATGTCTTCGTTGTGCAAACAACACAGAGTGCACTTACACAAACCTAGACGCTCTAGCCTCCTGCACACGTAGGCTGTGTGGTCCAACCTATGGCCTCCTGATGACAAACCTATACAGCATGTTACTGTACTGAATACTGCAGCCAAGTATAACTCGCTGTGCTATGACATGATGGCAGCCATGAAGTCACTAGGTGGTAGGACTTTCAGCTCATTATAATCT